CGAGTTTCAACATAATTCAAATTGGGATGAAAATCTTCTTTTGGAAGAAGCCAGAGCGGTTGAAAATGACGAAACTCCGTGACCACTGGATGGAATCTTATGAGGGTTTCAGAGTGGGGAGTGTAGCTCCACGCATTCATAACTTCGGCAATGGATATTGATAAGTGGTTAGCTTCAAGCTTCGACCGCATTAGAACACAGTAGCTATTGAATAGGAGACAGGATGGGTCCCAAAGTAGGTCTGGACGTTGTGACGGAGAAAATAATTCTGTCTTATCGGGAATCGAACCTCGCACAGCCCGAATCACAGTCTACTACTGTCAGAGCTATTGGTTTTCGTAGGCGACTGACATGTTTGAGATCGTGCCTCAAACACGGATGCAGACAGACGGACAGACGTAACAAAGCGAGGTATTGTCGTGCCGTTGGTTCGTGAATTCGGCCACAGATTGGCGCTGATGCAGACAGACGGACAGACGTAATAAAGCGAGGTATTGTTCGTGAATTCGGCCACAGATTGGCGCTCGTCTCAGAATTCTGGCGGAAGTAGGCTGCTCTCCCGTGTCGCTGACGTCGGAACGGGTTAAATATGGTGTAATTAGCATTGCAACGTTTGTAGTACGGGTTTTGTAATGATTTTTATGTTGCATTGCGCAAGCGCGCCCCGTACTTAATCGCGTAATTTAGGGGACATCAAGGGCAGACGTGTGGCAATGGTTCGTTCTTGCTGGAATCACGCTGTTTCCGAATATGGCCGACGTGCGAGTTATGCTGGCGACATGCGTTGTAGGATTTGGAAAGTTTTATGTGAACTACGCGTTTGATACTCGGTTCTAAGGTAACACGGGAATAAAATAAGTATTTTTGTAACCGTTCAAGAGAATTATATCCACAAAGCAGCAGAACTGTTTGCAGGAATATAGGCTAATGCGAGTCCCCCCCCCCCCACCTCACAGCTTCAGATACGTCTCTAAAAAGCTGACCTAACCTTACATTCACATTTTTTGTGAGGGACAGGGACTGGTTGAGCGAACTGGATACACCGAGCTCAAAATAGACTCCGCTGGCGGGCTTTTGTGAACACGGTGATGAACCTTTTGGTTCCATAAAGAAATTGGGCTATTCTTTGACAAGCCGAGTATGCAATCGACTTTGCAGAGAATGTTCTGCACCATACAGTGAGTGATAAGTTGATCTCCGTAATGGTGAAGCGTTGTGCTTTCTTTGCGGTGCGGACTGAATTCTTAAATGTTATTTGCTTAAACTTGGGGCTTCAGAGGGGTGTTGCCTCATGAAGGTGCAGAGAGGCACTGGAGCGAGAGATCCACGCGCGGTGGACCTCGTCAGTTTCAAGTTCCGTCGTCTTTATTCACGGGGCCAGAAGCCACGGCAGGTGGGCAGGCCTCAAAGGCGGTCTGGATTCAGAGGTGACGAAGGGAAAATTCACATTCCAGCCGGGAATTTAATCCTTATCAATTGCTTTATTATCCTGTCTGATCTGACTATGAGGTCTGTCGTTTGTCAATGACGGTTGGAGCTTGAAGCTCCGTGCCATGACGTGTTGCAACACGATCTGATGGGCGTTGGTGGTTCTCATTTACAATTCAAATTGATAACAGCAGAAGCTGTTATCGAAGGCTAAACAGCCCTCGAGACTGCTGTTGGAAGTGATTGTCGCTTCATATATAACAAATTTCTCGCTGTGTGATTGAACACTACACCATGAAGGCGTATAGTGGGAGTGGAGGTAGAAATGTTTGTATTCTTAACCTCGTAAATGAAAGTAACTTTTTTTAAAATTAGCCAGGCTTCGACCGCTGTATGGCTTTGGATCGAGCTTTCAGTGTGCATTTAATCCTAGAAGCCGAAACTTATAAGGGGGGGGGATTTTTTAGAATTCAGTCCGTACCTCAAAGAAAACACAACACTTCACCATTACAAAGATCAACTGGTTAATGCTGTTAAAGGAAATAATCGCTGTTTATTTTGAGAATCGTACGAAAAACAAATAAATTACGTAGGAATAATTCGAAGTTATTGAATGTTAAAGCAGGTGGTGTGTAGAGTTACCACTGTGCTTTTTATCGGCTAATTCGCCTCTTGATAGCTCTTAAGATGGTCCGACCGCCATTGTATTAATCTTGCTGTGGATTCTGGGTATAAATTCTTAACCGTAACTAGGAAGAGCCTAATTCGTGAAAGTTTGAAGAAGAATTAGTTACTTAGTGAATATTTATTGCCTGATTTACGGTCTGTTGGCGAGAAGAATTCCAAGAAGTGCTACCAGCTCCGCTGAGCAGTACCGTGACAGTCCACACGAGGAAACGTCTTCCTGTGGTTTCAATACGTCGGCATTCAGCGCTGCTGTGCTCAAAAGAAACCAATTTCCTTGTGGCTGTATTTCAAGGAAGGTTGCGTATTTATTCGTTGATGGATTTTAAGTCGGGGTTTGAGAGTCTCGCGGTGGTGATGTCTGTCTTGATCTCTTTGGTTATAACACGATACAACGAAATTAAATCCAGTCGACAGATTGTAATAAAGACCTCCAGCATCAAATTTAGTCGAATTCTTTCGAATTGTTCTGAGAAAGAAAATATTACGAACATACTTGCATGATTTCCCATTTTGAATCCAATTTGTGCTAGCTTAATTTGAGCAAAAATATGTAATTAAGCAAAATTCTGGCAGTGTAATTTCCTCCACATCAGATGTATCGATTATATCGTCCAGGTTCGGTCGTCAGAGTGTCGTTTTTAAAGTCATAATGTAACGCGTGATGGCGGGTATGGGTCATTGTGACAAGTGCTGCTGCTTGGTATTTTTTCATGAACTTTGTGTCCGTTGGTCAAAGCTGAGCTTTCGCGATGCCGGTATCTGATAAATGAGTGGAATTTTTTTTTGTAGCAGTTGGCAACGCTTACGAGTTGGCGCGTGTTGGATCACGCGGCTGCATGATTCAGCAGATTTGTCTCGAACAGTCTTTGGAATTAATTTTGTCTTATGGTTCGATTTGATCCCACAATGTTTTGTCAGGAGTTAAAGTAAGATTTTTGAAAGAACCCGTCCATTTTGGGAATTTTGTTAGCGATGAGATTTGTGGAACTTTACCAAGTCTTTAGTGTTCCTGCGCTCAGGAACTACTTTCGGCGTACGGACCACACTTAAGACCTCTGAGGAAACGTTAATTACGGATTTCTTGCCAGGCTTTGAAGTGTTGGTTATGTAACCAAGATGACATTCTTTAGTTATTTATGCTTAAGCGTAGTTTGAAGGTGAGTGGGACTTTGCGTGCAAGACTGAAATAAGAAGCTTATTGTCAGTCTATTAGGCCAAGGATCGCCAACTTTAGCCCGCGACCACCGTACGGCGCCACATTTTAAGATAATCTCCATCTATTTGCCCGTCACCCAAAAAATGGTGTACGATCCCTGCACAAAGCTCTGAAAGTATGGAAGATGACTGTCTTCTGAGACTTTGCGACGCTTAGTCTTGTCCTAAGTTGCCGACGTTTCAGACGCGATTACGACTCCAATCGTCAAGGAGAGGATAGAGGTCTCAATCTGTTTTGAAAGTCGGTCAATATCTACATGACTGTGCGGCGTAGCATCCCATAGGACACTCATCTTCAAACTCGCCAACGTCAGAACCTGAAATCTCGCCTGAATATTTTTTTTTTGTAAAGAACGTATAACTGTGCAAGATGTATTTCTGCTATGGCACGCCACTTCAGATCTATAGCCTTGGCTTGCTGAATGGACGTCGCTTGTAAAAATAGCGTCTCGACGCATTTGCCTCGCCGACCTAAAGCAACGTGTCCCACCTGAGCCACAGCTGTTCGTACAACGTCATGAAGGCGTATGGTGGGCGTTCAGACGCTGCTAGGACCGTGAGTGGCCGGTTTTAACGGTAGCTAAACGCCGGACCATAAATACGTACCGAGGGCGTGAAGTTAAGGCTCCACTCGTTTTTATTCAGCAGGTTGGGTGCCCGGTATGTATTCATGAACGTTCGTATGTTTAATGGACACGGTAATTAAACTTCGAGTTCCGTCAAGGCGGGGAGGTTTTTTATTTTTCATATCTGAACGAATTTCAGCGTCTCAAGAAGGACTCGCCAGATGTTATTAGGTGTTGGCGTCCAATGAAATGTTAAGATTACTGCGAATGTTTAAGGATTTGTAAGGTGTTCTGGTTTTCTGTGTATATTTTCTTGGTACTCATCTGGAGATGCTGAGGAAGATCTCGAAATCTTATTTAGGATAGCCGATTGCTTAACCGAGGTTCGAACCGGGCACTTCACAGTACACCTATCTAGGCGAACAGTTGGTGTTAAATCCTGGTTGGAACACATCTTCTTCTGGCGTCTCTGAGTAATTTCATCTTATCGCCCTGATGATGGAGACAGTAGGGAACGTCGGTAAACTTCTACGAGACTACACGGCGCTCGTGTAATGATTAAGATGAATCGCCCGTTTTACTATGTTACAGCGATTAAACTGTTTCGACTTTCGTCTGAAATGTTTGAAGATGTCGCTCAAAAGACTTGACGTTCCCCGCTCGTCAAAGTATGCCAGTGGGTTACTATTATCAATTTTAGGTTGCTTAACTTAAACGTGGAACTAACCTCAGTTAGACCGTCTGATGTGGGGTGCAATTCCTTCGTGCTTACAGTACGACGCCGACCGTAGGGTTGGCTCGCTGCCCGGCTTCTTAATTCCAATATAAACACGTTTTGAATGAGAGAGATACAGCATCTATTTTAAGGACGCTTCTAACCTGGTTAGAAAAGGTCTGTTTCGTTTCCCAAGTACCGACAGAAGCACAAACGCGAAGTCTGAAAACGGATTCGCCCGTCAGCCAAGAAACCTCATTCTCTGCTGGAGGCTGAGTCGAGCCATGCAGCAGCTATGAGCTTCTTCTGTTCCTGTGCTCGACGACGGAAAGACAAAGACCCAGTGGATCAGTATTATTACGGCAAATACAGCAGGCACTCCAGATGCAACAGCTATGAGCTTCTTCTGTTGCTGTGCTCGACGACGGAAAGACAAGGACCCAGTGGATCAGTACTATTACGGCAAATACAGCAGGCACTCCAGTGAGGTCGCCCCGACACCCCGGGTCAGACGGAAGTTCCCAGGTGGCGTCCCCGTCGGTCCACTGCCCCACGTGTCATCTGATACTAGCATACAGAAAGGTGAAGACGTCACGTGGAAGAACTCGTCTGTCGTCAACAATAACACCCTGGGGTCCGACTCTGACATCGAGGATATCGAGAAGACGCTTTTGTCCATCTGTGAGCAAGAGGAAGAGAGGTTGAGGCACTCTGAGGTCATCTCCCAGTTGAGTGAGAGTAGTGAGTCGGAATCTGACAGTGAGGACGAAGACGATGTTGCCAGTGTGACAAGCCAGGATCTGGAGGACCTTCTGGTCACCGGGGAAGACCCAGAGGATTCCAGTTTCTCGGATGACAGCGACGTGCCTGAGGATCCCGTGAACCGATTCGTGCTCAGACCACGTGACACACTGCGGGAACGATACGCTGATTATTCCAACGAGATCTGGAAGGACATCCAAGTATCGCTTATCGAAGCCATCAGCAGTGGGCATTGTGGCGCCCAAGAACGTGAGCAGACGGTCGAGGCCCCAGGAGACAGCCCTGCCGAGGTCGCGAGTCATCGGCAACAGAATCAGGATCCTGATGACGCGGCCCGTGTGTTCAAAGCCGGGCGGTTCCAAGTATCGGCGGTGCCAGACGGAAACGGTGCGTTACTGAGAATGTGTCTTCTAGGTTACGACGCCGTCCGAACTTGTAGATAGATACTAAAGTTTTGACGTCATCACCAGTCCTGAAGATGGAGGCAGTATTCTCTTCCGAAGCATTAGTATCAAATTATAAGTCCAGACGGTGTTAAAATCTACACCGATGTGAGACGTTCAGGTCTCATGAGGTGAATTTGCGTCGAGAACAGGACGGGAAATAAATTAGAGAAAATTACGTAGTAAAGAGCTTCGCAGTTGGCCTTATGTATTTGGTGTGATTATATCAAGGAAGACGTATGAATGGGGGTGTACTACGCATGAGGTACGTGCAGAATTTTGTTCGGATGACCTTGGACGGACGAACTGATGGAGGATATTACTAAAATGGTTATCAGATAAGTGTTGTGTGAAAAGCTACACTGGCTAACATCTTGGTTCTGTCGTGCTTTTGTGAACGCCTAAGTGATGATTCACATTCTGTATTACAGAATTTCTCTTTCCAGCTAAGTAACTAGAATTAGTTAACGTTGCATACAAAAATTGACTGAAAGAGGGCACTTCATTGTAATTGTCATATTCGTGAATCGATTGGCGTACCAAAAAAAAATATGTTTTTTCAGAAAACCTATTTTTTTTAAAACTGTCGACGTAGGTAAACTGTGAAACTGTCGACGTAGGTAAACTATATCGAAATTTGTCGAGTAAATTAAGAAAAAACTTGCAGACGGACAAAGACTAGTTGCTATGCGTTTGCTACGTGTGTTAAATTACGAATATAATTCCATCAGCACAGTCAGTAGTCTACTTTGAAAGATCTAAGCGTTTATAGAAGGATAATATTAAAATGGATCTTATGGACATAATGTGGGAGGGTGTGGAGTGGATTATTCTAGCTCAGGATGGGGACCAGTAGTGGGGTCTGGTGAAGAAGGGAATAAACTTCCAGTTCCATGATAGTCGGTGAATCTCTTGGTTCAGTCACTACCAGCTTCTTAAGTTGGACTGTGTTCCGTCTAAGTTGTATCTCAGGACACTCGATAAAGAAGTTGAGATACGTACCACCGAATAGATGTATCTTGTGGATAAAGATCCATGATATTGATGTTCCTTCTTTTATAGATCGCTAATGCATGTTGCTGACGACAGTGACATGAGTAAAACACACTGAAGGGGCTCAGACGGGGTTCGAACTTTGTAGCACTGGAGTACATTCAGTGTGCTCAAGTAAAGCTGTTTGCCGCTGTGTGAAGAGGAGAGGAATTGTCACAGTTGTTATGAATTATTACCAAGTGTTCGTCGGTGGGGGGGGGGGCGGCTTAAGGTCCTGTTTACAGCCCCGTCGTCAACAAGTTCGAAATGAGAAACTGAAAACTACGTAATATGACATTTGACCTTGAGAGTAAATCCCATCGAGTTTGTTTTTTTTCCGGCAGGAAGTTACGTAACAGAATTAAGTGTACCTGCGAAGAATGCCAGGACAGTGTTGTTCAATCAGTGTGTCGCGAGCAGCGCCGCGAATAAAGTTTCAAGCTGACTTAATATCGCCACTACATTGTCACCAGGATCTGATGATCTTCATATTAGCGCTGAACCGGGATATCGTTTGAGCTTGCGAATCTCCGAATCTCAGCCTGATGCTCAAATACGGAAATATTTGTCAGTGCTGCTACATTGCTACGTCCGTGCTGGTGCTTGCTACGTCAGAAGAAGGCTGGATCATCAGATTCCATCGGAGCTGTAGAGGCAGGAGTTTGGATAGTCTCACGCTTCGGCTGTTCTGTGGAGCTCGAAATAACCATTTTAGTCGTGATGTGTCAGATGTATGTTTTTCCTCGTGACATTTACTGCTCGATTCTGAGACAGTGTTAAATTTTTCTTGGCGATTGTAATACTTGATACTAAATCTACTCTGATATGAAATGAGAGGAAAATTATTTAAAAATAATAATACGGAAATTGTTTGTGGAAACACACACACGTGACCTTGCACACAATGTGATGTGTCGAACTATATATATATATATTAGTGTGGTGTGACGTGGATAAGATCTAGAAATGATGTTCCAGAGACGGAATGAAACATCCGCTTGCTACCCACCCCTTCGCCACAGAGAAAACTGTGTCCAAAGCAGTGACTCAATCCTTAACTTGCCTTGTTCTTGCTGCCTTAAACCGTTAACGTCAGAAACACTTCGGTAGACCGAGACGTAACCTGCCCATAGGAATGCAGGGCTGTTCCCCCAGTAACTTAAACCCACTTCAGTTTTTATTACGTCGGGATATTTGTGGGAAAATTAATGTTCTGACTTCCGGCTGATTTTATCCTTGCGTCATGATGTTACGTAAGAATCACTGAACAGGCACTGTAACCTCCAAGCTTATCGTGTGAATGCACTATATTCCAGTCTTGAATCAAATTTTACGTACTTTGCACAGTTGTGTTTTGAAGAATCTGTATCTTTTCCTTTATTAGACTGCGGTGCTTGAAAGAACTGGTCTTCTTGGACACTTGGTGATATTACGATGGAACAAGGTAATCTTCCGTAAAACCAAGGTGGGGTAACGTGTGGCAACTGTTGAAGTGTATTCGACGTTTTAATTCAGTGGATCTTACGAAGAACTTTGCGATTGGTTCTTCAAAGTACGGAGGCACTAAGGAGCATAGGTTCAACTGAGATCAGGAATTATTTAATTAACCAGCGACAACAGCGCAGTTCGATCAACCCCCTGAACCGACGGCGTAGTCAAGGAACCCGGTGTTCGTTGGAAACTCCGGCCAAACAGAAGCCACCTTAGTTGTCCGCGCTCAGGGCGTGACTGTCCTGAGGTTAAGAATGCATGGAGTCTTACGTCCACTTCCCTATACCAATTACAGGAGGAGCTTACGGTCGATGTTTAGCGGAGGAAGGAAGCATTTTTTGGGGCACGGTAAGCTGATTGTTGTGCCTGTTTCTTGTCTGTTCCAGCGTTGGACCTCGCACAGAACAGTAATGTCCAGGACGCATTCGTCATCGCAGTTGAGCAGCAGGCCAGAGAGCGACTGGAGCGGCTTTCCGCTCTCAAGCGCATTAAGCCCGTGGATATGACCAAGCTCTCCCAGCAGGTGAGAAGCGTTTTCTTTTCTCATACAGCAGCGTTTATGATCATAGCGAATTTTACCAGTGACCTTTACGGATGTGATTACGTCATCAGGGAGGAATCCCCACTCTTGCGTGAGGTCTGGGGAATCCCCACTCACTTCCGCGCGCAGGAACGACAGCTTTCTAGGTTTATTGGTGCTCGATTTTAACCAAAATTGGGATTTGTAGTCACACGGGAAGAGGAGGACTGATTTCGAATCTTAGTCGGAGCACCGAATGTCAGAGATTCATTCAAGGTCCCGGGTTCATATCTCGGCTCAGGACACTGGCTATCGTGACCGAGGTTTTCTTCAGTCCCACCAGGAAAGCTTCCGGAATAATACGAAATTCTGGTTGGAAAGCCGGAAGGAGAAAGTCCTATGCGTAGGTGGGAGGATAATATTAAAATGGATATTGATGCCGTGAGAGGGTTTGGGCTGGATTTATGTGGAGCAGTATAGGTACCATTGGCGGGCTGTTCGAGATCACGAGGGTGATCCTTCAGATCCCATAAAAGGCCGGGAATGTCTACCTTATTTTCGGTGAAAGTCTCGGGTTTTGAAGGTGAATATCACATCAGAAAGTGAGATTTTCGTGTGCTTTGCTTTGAAGCCAGCTGACTGTACAGTTATTTGTTAAAAATTTTGGTGTCGAGGGTTAGGTCGGTCTGACAGTTCTGATACAGACCAGATCCCTCGACCCCGAAC